AAAGCTGAAATGTTGACAGAGAAAGAAAAAAGTTGCGAGAATGTGGTATAAACATTTCTTAACGTTGAAGATTTATGTCGAGCTTGAAATATTCGAACAAAATTGTGATTTATCCATTACCACGTACAGTTATATTTTTTTTTAATGACATTTGTACATCATTTCCCGTGGACTTTGACACGCTGATTTCAAATTCGCTCGCAAAATTGATTTACCACTTTGGGACTTCGAACAAAAATCGATTTAAGTGAAAAAAACTAACGAGAACTGATGATTTTGTCATTGAAATGATCCGATAATTCGCTGATATTATTCAGATTATATTACTTGTACCTATAGTGTACCATTTATATTATAAATTAAATGAAGACTATGAAAAATCAATTTTTATTGTAAATACCACAAATTAATATATCGTAAATATACGTCTGCAGCAGTGAAAAGATAAATTATATTTTATAATTATAGTTTTATTCATACTTTTATATATTATATTTTACATTTCACTGCCAGTTTCTCGCTGCAACCATGAAATTGCGACAAAACGTGAGGTTTCGTTGTCGCTGGAAGCAGAAAGCTGGCGAAGTGCTGGCGAATTCTCGAGTGCAGGGATCAAAAAGATCTCGCTCCGCGGAGAGATCGTTTCGAGATCACTGCCGTCCCGTTCCCCGGGTATATATATAATCCGACAATTGTCCGGAGAGGTTCCATGAAACGTTCAGAGCCCTCTTCCCTCGTGGCCGCCGAGAAGAATCTTTCCGGCCGTGAATGGCGGGACGCGTCACGCGAATTACGCGGCCGCGAGGGCACGTAACAGGAGAGAAATGCAGACACGAAACGCGATGGAAACGGATTTCGTCATCGCGGCGGACGCTCGAGCGGAATACATGCATACATACATACATACATACATGCTACGCGAGTCACCGGACCCGCTTCACGGCGAAACGCTGCATAAGTGCATGCCGATGCGGCCGGCCCGCGAGAAACCGCGATCAATCGGTTATTCCCGCTCGTGAATTAAGTCGTCGCCGATCTGGAGACCGGTGCTCCTTATTTAGCCATCGAGCGAGTCGCGAGAAACGCTTCGAATACTCCGTCGTGCGCGTCTTTGCAGCACACGATCGTCGAAAGTTCGAAAACTGAAGCACTAGTTCTTCCGATTTGGTGGAATAATCAAATAATTCTTTGAAATAATTCATTCAAATAATTCTTCCGAATAATTCTCTCGAATAATTATAAAACGATAATATCTCAAATATGCCCAGATCTGGTGTCAGTGTGCCGAGGTCATCACAAAAGAGCGTTAGGCTGTTCACGCTGTTTCCTCGGCCCTCGGCAAGGTGCTCGGCACCGTGATTTCATGTGCGTCGGCGAGCCGGAATTGAGCATGGCTCGAAATCAATTCCATAGGATCGTCCGACGGTGATTTATCAGTGGAAAGCTTACCGATCGGTGCGACCGGATGCGTTCGTTAGATAATCGATCCGGCAATTGAGCCTATCGAGGCCGCGGAGCGACTTCGTTCCTAAACGCGAGCCCACGAGCGTCACCGATTTTTTTACCAACACCCACTCCCGCGGTATAATAAATTTCGCGGCGCGATAATGTAAAGAGCCTCGCGAAGAGCGTTTTAAACGAGGAAAAATGGAAACGATAATCGGTGTAATCAGGATAATCTCGGCTCGCGTAACGGCGGCTCGTTAATCGGCCGGCGGATCAGATAAAATCGCCGAATCGGGCGAGACATTAATATTCTATCGGACGGCTCGTTATTAGAACGCATTAAAGACTTCGCCGGCGAAGACTCTAATTACCCGGCGCGCTTGATTAGGGAACGAGGCAACTTTGTCAGAGCGAACGACGCTGGGTGCACCGGGCCGCTATTAAGCCGCGGAAGCCGCGAAATAAAAGCATCGTTGACCGCCGATCAAAAATAGCATCCAACAGAAGTTTCTACTCGGTGGCATCGTAAACGATTTCCTGGGCGTGAATCGTAAATGAAACGCGCGCGCGCCGGGGTCATCTATCACTCACGAAACCGGTAGTCATTACCGTCCCAAAAATGCTTCTTCGGCTCTGCCGATCGGACGTGCAACTTGTTGCGCGTATTATCACCGCGGAACATCGAACGCCAATTAAAACGCGGCCAGTCGTTTCCGTGCTTGATCGATCGGCTCTTGACAAAGAAACGCGGACAACCTCTCCGCAAATGAAATTGATAGAAACGAGGTTTAGAATTTCTGAAGCGAGCGTCGTAGAGTAGGGAGAAATATGATTTCTGGCGCATCCGCGTAATTTACGTTGATCCAGCATCGAGCATTCCACTGGAGAAAAAAAAATACCTTCGGATACTCTCTCGTGACTCACTGTACGAACCATTATCCTTGAAGAAGTTAAGAAAGCTGAGGAACACTGACTCAGCCCACAAACAACTTTCGCATGAAGAAATTAGATTAATCGATCGGGCCACGTGGATTACACGTTCGAAGCCATAAACTGTCTTTGGAAAACAGCTGCTGCAAGTTTAGGGATTTCGGGGTAAAAGGATCTTAATAACAGGATCTTAATAAAGAGAATTAAATTCGTCACGAGGCGATTACGTTTTCGAAAACTATGAAGCGTCGAATTAACACGGATGAGTACGATTTAGTCGTACAGAAAAACATGTCGCAGATGTTCATTCTTGTTAACTCGACGATCCGTAGTTTTCAAAAAATTAATCGCTTCATTACTCGCTTGGAAAGAATATGCAAACAATCGCAAAACAGGAGAAGCCCAAAGTTACAGGCAATTATTATGCGGGAAATTTAAATCGAAATTAAAACCGCACGAACCTATGACGTGGCCTATTATATTCCGTGTGTCCGACACAATGCTTCAGCACGTCTAACTGCTTGTTACAATGTGTTTCTATGTATGCGTATGTACGTGCGCGCACGTTCTGCGTCTATCTTGTAGACACTGATGTCGACTAATCATCGTGGTATTTTATTCGAGTTTAATTTCATTTATTGTATTTTGTTCTATCCTATTTTATTTCATTTTCATGCTTTATTTTATCTACTCTGTTTTATTGCATGGCACGTGACGTACAAGACGATGTACCGCATGTGATCCGTAAGAAAACAAATTAAGTTCATTACGTTTCATTTCTTTCAAATACAGTAAATCCTCGCTAATTAATGCTCAGCTTGTACACAAAAGTGGACAATATAGGAGGAGGAGGTACGATTATCCGAGCCTTACGGCACGCTTTTATATTTACCGATTACAACTATAATTAACCCTTTCGCGCCGAGCGCCGCATATATGCGGCACCCACTCGACGACCTGTGGGCACGGGCGCCGCATATATGCGGCATCGAAATGAAGTGTATACAGAAGACGGGGATGTGTAATTTATAGCAAAAATGATAAAAGAACGGATTCGCGGTACGGGTGCGAAGATTGCGATGTTGGCCTTTGTATAGATCCTTGCTTTCGAATATATCGCGCAGAATTATATTATTAATTTTTACATATTATTATGTTTTAATAATTTTCGTCTCGTTATTAATTATATTAAACATTTAATCGTTAGGCTTTGTAATTATATAAAAACCTATGTTACCTATAATTTTGTAAGTCTTTTTCAATTAAAAATGTGAATATACTTGTTACATTAGAGCAACGATTGTACTTCGGCGGATGGAGCTGCCGTAGCGAAAGGGTTAAATTGACAACTATAAAAACGAGCCTGGTATAATCGTACGTCCTCTTCCCAAATAGTCCATTTTTGTTTCCAAGCTGCGCGCCAATTAGGAAGAATTTACAGTAATCGTAACTGGCCGATGCAACGGGCTGGTAGCATTTCGGTGAAAAATAGATGGTTCTGCCGCGAACGAAGGAGCAGCTGGAACGTTTCTCGGTGGAAGACGAAGAATAGCCGCGGCGCGGACGTAGAAGGTGAAAGAGGAGAACGGTCCGAGGTCTGAACAGAGAGAGAGAGAAAGAGAGAGAGAGAGAGGAGAAAGAAGCGGGCAGATCTACAGGTCGATACAGAGTCCCGGCGCTTCGGGATCCTTTCACCAGGATCCTCGAAGGAAACGTTACTGTTAGCCGCGCGATGCACCGCTACCGCGGCCACGGCAAGGACACGCGCGGGCCGGAGCGGCGACTGAAAGGAGCCACGAGGATAAAAGGAGGATCCCTTGGAAAGCTACGACAGCCGTATATTATCCTGACCGCAGGACCGCTCGCTTTCGCTACATCGACACGCTTGGCATGCGTTTAACTATCAAAAGACTCGCAATACCGCTCGCAGGCGAACGGTCCCGAGTCCCGACCTTCTCTCCCGTCTGCAACACGCCTCGAAAGCCCGCGTCCCGTCGAATTGCAGTTTATTAGCCGGTAAATTGCTCCATAGGACAATGATACCGGCCGCGGTCTACACGCGAATCTTCGCAGACCGCGGACAAACTCGTTGATGATTTTACAGGCGGCGCTCACATTTCCTCCTTGCGAATGTACACTTTCGGGATTTTTCTTGTAGACAAACTGAATGGAGGATCGTTCAGGAAGATTCGTTCTTGTTCGAACCGCGTGCAGGAATTGTTTGCAGTTGTTACATCGATGTATACTAGAGTAGTACGTGCAAATTGTGGAATTCGGACTATTAACGCTTCCTTTAAAGAGCGAACTTTGGGATTTTTATCGAGAGAAGGGAACGAGAAAATTTGTTGAAACTTTGCCAGCTCGTTCGCGCGTATCTGAGCTACATTTGTGAATTTTTACACGTCGCTGTCAACGATGTAGCGATTATTTATTGGAACAACGACAAGAGTAAACGGAGCGGAAGAAAGGCGCCGCGAGGATCCACAACGTTTTTTCAAAACGATCCAGCGATAATATTGTGTACAGATTAGGGCACAGAAGCAGATAGACGAGGTAGGTGTGCCCCGAATAAACTCGGGAGCGCGAGAGGCAAACAAAAGGAGTAGAATGGCTGTTTTACTTACGCCTCACAGTACGGCTGTTTGTTGAACCCCTTGTATGTCCGCATGTTTAGGATCATCCCGCAACCCTGACACTTGAAGCACTGTTTGTGCCATATCTGAAACAAGCAAGCATAAAAATCACACTATGAAACGCTACGTCACCGGTTCGCGTTCGTCCAAACAATTTGAACGAGAACACCGAATACGTGCGCGAGAAACTTGAGCACACACACACACATCCTCTATTGTTGAATACTTATTCTACAGGGTGTCCCAAAAATGTCTCGTAATCCGGAAATGGCTAGTTTCTCGGATCATTTGAAGCAACTTCTTCCTTTACAAAAATTTTCTCCGAGGCACCGTTAACGAGTTATTCAAGAAAAACGGTGACTAATAAGAATCGAGTATGACTGACGCGAGGCAGCCCAGCCTCGCGCTAGCTGAGCTGGGATTCGACCGTCTCAACCGCTGGCGCCGTTGACTCGACCGCCTCGCGGCAGCTGAGCTAGGATTCGACCGCCGCTCGACCGCTGGCGCCGTTGACTCGGCCGCCTCGCGCCAGCTGAGCTGGGATTCAACCGCTCGACCGCTGGCGCCGTTGGCCCGGCCACCTCGCGGCAGCTGATCTCGTCTCTCATTGGTCACTGTTTTTCGTTAATAACTCGTTAACGGTACCTCGGAGAAAATTTGTGTAAAGGAAAAAGTTGCTTCAAATGATCCGAGGAACCCGTCACTTTCGGATTGCGAGACGTTTTTGGGACACTCTGTACATGTTATCGCCCTGAATCGTGTGAATCGTGTAATTGAAGAATGTCAAAGTACGACGAAGTGTCGAGAAGGAGACTCGAAAATATTTAGAAATCTTCACGATAAAAAATTCAAGAATCGATCGTCACACTTCCGAAAGTCGCGAACAACGCTCGATGGAGTCAAATCTTTGTGCCAAGTTAATTTACATAAGTCCTGAGATGTTGTTAATTGTCTAGAGAGAAAGCTGCTGCAATTATGCGACGAGACAATAATAGATTCATTAACGGTTTGACTGCCACGCGAACAGCCTCGAAAATTTCACGAAATTAATGAATTTTATTTAATCGAATTAAAATTGAAAGATCGAGTCGGGTGACATTAATTATTCTTTCGATATTCTTGCGAGTCTTAATACAATTTTTAGATTATAATTGATTCAGAGTTGAGCATTATTCGAATTGTTTCGAATAAATATTTATCGAATCCTTCGAATGAATTCTTATTCGAATAAAATTCTATTCGTACTATTCATTCGAATTTGATTTTATTCGGATAAAGGTTTGTTCGATCGAATATAGTGTTGAATACAATTTTATTCGAATAAATCGTTATCTAGATAAATTTGTATTCGATTGAATATTTAATTGACAGCGTCGAATACGATTTGTTTCGTTAGTCTCCATCTTTTATCCGTGATCCGAATGAAACTTTGCCCAACTTCAAACAGATCAGACTAGAAATTAATATTCTATTTTCGATAAATTTAATTTCGTTACTCAGCTATAGGTGACGCGGCAATGCCAAAGCGTCAAACGATACCAGAAAAGTCGCGCAAAAGAGCGCTTCGCAATTTCCATGTGAAGAACTAGGAGGCACCGTTAAAAATCGCGGACAAAGCGGCACGTCGGCACAGTTTTCGCGAACTTTGCCCGCGCGACCCGGCGAAACAAAAAGGATTCAACGACCTTTGTCGCAGGCGTTACTCATCGCCGGCGACTATTATCTGCCGCCGAGTCCTCCGTAGCGTGCGTTTTCCGTCGTGCGAGCCGGTCGTAGATCATAGTCGATGCACTCGAGGCCTCGCCTACGCGCGTTAGATCCGTTTCGAACGGTAGACAGCGCCGTGAAATACGATCGTTTAATATCCTCGATAAGATCGGCGCGGCGAGCCGATCCCGGCGAGTGAAAAGCGCAATTATCGTTTGATTCCGGTGGCCAAGGTCGGAGAACCCGAGATCTCGATGGGACAGCTTCCCGGGGACCTTGAACGGTGGCCTCACCGCGACTATGGCTACGACGACGACCGCGAGAGCCAACACCGGTGCACCGGGACCTCGACTCTACTCTTCTCTGCTCTGCTCGACTCGATTCTGTTCTGCTCTGCTCCGCTCCGCTCTGCTCTGCTCTCCGAGGGGGCTCGGATTTGAATTACAATTAGCCGCGTTCTAAGAACCGCTGTCGGTACATCGATACACGGTGTCTCGTTTGACCCAGAGATAACCGAAGGCCATCGTAGTCGCCTCGTTGTTCGCCGATAATTGGCGAGGCCTGGCTCTCCGTCGGACACGTCGAATAAGGTCGCGGATCTACAGCCGAGACCCGAGACCGATCCGAAGGACTCCCTTCCGAACACAGACACCCGGAAACACAGAAATGAGTCACGACCGAGTGAGTCAACTCTGATCGCGACCCACGAGGGCTGCGATCGAGCCGACAATTTTTATCTATTTATTTGTTGAAATAGAAAGAAATATTGACATCGAATATTGACATCGAGATAGAAGACATTTTCCGTTTGACCGATGTTTGTTGCAATCGTTGCAGACAATTTTTGTGTTACGTAAACATCCAGAGTCTAGTCGCGACGCCTGAACGGCGAACCTTTCTGAGAAACACGTAACCGTGTAAGTTTGTTGTTCGAATCATTTATAATTTTATTTCTGAATTTGTTTCAACGTATACCTTGAGGTATTTTTTAAGGTACTCCGGCGGCTAGATACATTAATCCTTCGATAGATCTTAATAAAACGTAATCTAAAGCGGAATAAAACGGATGAAATAAACGGAATCTAAATTAGTTTAATAGAAATTTGGTATTCGAATGACGATTCTCCGAATCTGGATGCAAACGGACCCGGTCCGGGCGATAATTGCGCGAGAAGCTCGGCAGTTTACCTGCGATTATATGATCATTTTCATCGGGTGCTCGGCGGAGATCGATATCGATAGCTGATGTTTGTAGAATTGAGATTAGCATCGTTTTGTTTCAACCTTGTCCGATGATGTACGACTATCTAGGATCGATCTTTTCCCAAGCAAATTAATCTTTGTCGGACGAACGAGGACTTGGAAGTCTATCTATAGAAGGTTTTACGATAGTTGCCGCGACGAGCTCGCTTCGGCATTCTACGATTTCTATTTTTATTTTCATCGGCATCTATTCGACGAATAACCACTCCGAGGAGAATCGCGAGGTTTATTAACGTTTCAATTAAATATATTCACGCTTCCGATGCTCGTGTATGATAGAGGGCAATTATGTACACCGCTAGTCGACCATGTTACAGTAATTAGGTTACAATAATTACAGTTTGAGGAACAGTGGAACAGATAAGGCGGGCCACTTATATGTAATGGCTCTCTTATCTTCTCTCGTCAATTACACCAGTTAAGTTAAACACGCGTTAAAGAATCCGTTGTCAGCGTTAAAACATCCGTTAGCATTTTATTTAGAAAATGCGGCCAATTTCCTGCAACGAATAGATTTCGACGGAAATCAAAGTTGTTGTTCAAAGATTCTTTTATTTTTCAATTTCATGGCACTGAAACCTTCATTTCTTTGCGTCACCTAATCGTTTAGCTGTTTTCGGCGAGGATTGTTTTCCAACTATAATTACATTTTATAATTATATTTTAATCTATATTTTTATTTATATTTTTACGGATAAGTTTTGTTACAGACAATTGATTCTCGTCCGAATGGAAAAAAAACTGTTCCCGCTGGAGACTTTTGTTTATATTTTTATTATGTATAGATAATTTTTATTACAGACAATTGATTGTCGTCCGAGTGGAAAAGAACTGTTCCCGCTGGAGAGAGACCGCGACTCTCTTGCGAGAAAATGGCAGGTCGAAATTGCGACACCTCGACTCAATTTTCCCCCGAGGAGCGGCGCCATTGCAAAACCTGGGAAATAAGAGGGCCGGAAACTGAAAGGCGGGGCCCGATCCGCGTTAATGATCGTTTCGGAAAGTGCACTTGGCCAACGGTTACCACATTCTACCGCTAATCAATAGTTAAACGCGATCACCTGTTATCGTTTAGATCGACTTGTTCGCCAACTAATTTTCCGTTCTTAGCAAACCTGTAGACAGAATAGGCTGCACGTGATTCTGCAAATAACATAATCATCGATAAATTACAGATCGGCCGCGTAGAAATGGATAAGAGTATGCAGATAGTTAACAATGAGACAAACGGAAATTATAACAGGGTGCACTTTAACGATCAGAGAAACGACGTCCGTAAAAAACAATGTGAAACATGAATCCGAGCTGATCTGAACGTTGAAAACAGCTATAAAAAAATATATTACAACAAGCAAGATGAAAATCGTCGCATAAATCATTGGAAACTCGAACCTTGACAAGAATGTTTCAGATTTTCTCATTTCTTCGCTAACTTTCCAAATAAACTGTTATCACATCTTTAAAGTTAGCAGCCTATAAAAATTCACAAACACAGCTCGAGCATGCACAAATAAATTTCCCAGGTCTGACACATCTACGTTATTTAGTTTCTAAACAAAAAGATCGCAAGCGTAGATGATTTTCTAAACGACAGAATTTAAGCTCTCTCGATGCATAATTACCACAACTTCGACGCCAACGAAGTAAAAAAATTCACGTACGCAGCTCGAACATAGACAAATAAGTCCGCCGAGTTTCCCGCAGGTGCGTCGTTCAATTCCTCGGAGAAAAAATCCGCGAAGTCCGGCCTCGGATGACAGGACGGACGCAGAAACACTTTTCAGAAATAATTTCGATGTCGTAAAGATAGCGATGATCTACGATTCGCCGGGTAAAGAAGCTGGCAGGAAGGACGCCGGTGGATCGATCTGAGGAATTCTCGGCGTGCAGAAAAAGGAAAGAATGACGGGAGACGCGTGTATCGCTTCGCGCCGCCGATAGCTTGTTCGCAAACGCGGCACGTTTCGATTTCTAGACGATGCAGGTCGTCAGTGTCAATCCGTGAGCCGGGACGGCGGAATGCGGCGTGCAGCGAGTGCAACGGTACCTTATTTGTATCGCTTGGCCAATGTTAATCGCGCCACGAACACGACTGTTCCCAGCCGACGACGACGTT